CAAATAGTGCGTAAAAACAGCTTTCACATGCCCTAAAACAATAGAGTCTGCTCCCAAAACAATGGAGCAGGTTCCAACCATCTCAAAGCCGGGTCCCTAGACCTTGGATCCGGCTCTGTGTAAAGGGGAGTCGGCTCCCAACCTCCTAGAGACGGCTCTCTATCCCTCTCTGAGAGCACCGCACTTCCTCGTTTCGTCTGCTTCATTTTCGACCGTTTCCAACCATTCTGTTCTTCGTAAAAGTGATCCTAATAGTCTATATTTCATCCAGTATACTTCCCATCCTTTATTTAAAACAGTTTACATTAATTATGATAATGACAACAATTACCGATTAATTAGTTTGTCAAATCAAACGATGAAACCCAAACTTGCAAGAACAAATTCAAAGTAAATTAAACGTATATAGATGAGAAATTCAACATGTATTAGGTATACAAGATTCAATTAATATTTGATTAAGACCCTAGAGATAATCTAAGTATGCACAGAACACAGGCCAAAGTGAGAGAGACAGAATAGAACTTGCCTCTTAAGGCTTCAGTTTGAAACCTTTAACCGTCCTCTGTCCAGAATTTCCGATGACCTCTTGATTGTCGCCCACTCCTTTGTTGCCCTAGGTTCAACCCACGAGCAACACCCCTTCTTCCTCTTCTTGGTTTCAGCCTTGGTTCTTAGCTGAAACCCTAATTCTTCCTCCTCTGTTTTCTCTCAAAAACTCACTGTTCGTGGAAAGAGTTTGTGTTTAAGGTTTTGTAAATTTCTAAACCCTAAGCCGACGTCTAACGTTATGTTATATAGGCTTAAGGAAAACCTAATTTCAATTCTGAGAGGAGACGAAAAGAAAACTACACTAAGTCGGCTAACTCGTGAGAACAAAACCCTAAAATTATATTACATATTATATAATGTATAAAAATACAATTCAATTATTAATAATTACTAATAATTAAACTAATCCACATATACATATATACCAATAAATACATGTATAAACATCCATAGGTATTAACCGTACCCATTTACTCCATACAATCCAATCACATCCTTAATAAATTAAACACTTTAATTGAAATAATTAAACTAAGCATTTAATTCAAGTATCTATCATATAATTTCAATTGAACAGACAATGCCAGTTAAACAAATAAATTAATTCCAACCATTAATGAACATCCGCATACACATATAATTTAATTAACAGAAAGAAAATAATTTAAACAATTCACATGAAGCCACATAAATACATAATTAACACAAAGAAAGCAATTTAAACAATTCACATGAAGCCACATAAACACATAACCACGTAAACAACTAAAAATGCATAAGAAAATAAAAATGTAAATTTTAATTACATCCTTTTGAAAACTAGGGGTATTACACTGTGTCAGTGAGAGCTTGTAATGGTGTCCGGAAGTCAATAGAGATGGAAGGTACTCGATTGATTAGATATGCTACAAAGGTAAGTGCTTATCCCCAATACGATAAAGGCATATGAGCTTCTATCAAGGAAGCACAAATAACCTCTAACAAGTGGCCATTTTTTCGCTCTGTAACTCCGTTCTGCTGGGGTGTATTGGAACTAGTGGTTTGATGAATAGTTCCATGTGCTTCCAAATATTGTTGAAGGTAAAAACTCTGATATTGTCCACCATTGTCACTATGAAAAACCTGAACATGTGCATTGTAGTGAGTTGCAACCATTTTATGAAACTTTTGAAACAATAAGTTCACTTCACTTTTGGATTTCATCAAGCATAACCAGGTCATCCTGGTACAATCATCAATAAAAGTAACAAACCAACGTGATCCACCTAAAGTAGTGACTTTGGACGGACCCCAAACATCATAATGTATAACCATAAAAAGGAAGTAGACTTTTATTCAAACATAATGGAAATGAAGCACGGTGGCTCTTTGCTAGTTCACAAACATCACAGCGGAAACTAGAACCATCAAAATTTTCAAATAAACTAGGAAATAATTTTTTCAGATAACCAAAAGAAGCATGCCCCAGACATCGATCCCATAGCCAGATTTCAGATTTCTTTTTCTTCCCCTCAAAACCATATACTGTCAATGCTTGTCGTAACTTGTCAGAACTTTTTGACATTAAGTCCAAGTAATACAGCTTCCCTTGCCTAATACGACAACCAATCGTCTGTTTTGTTCGGATGTCCTTAAACACATAAAAATCAAGCCAAAAAATTACAACACAAGTTAAAGATATGCTTATTTGGGAAACTGACAAAAGATTATAAGATAAAGATGGAACAATTAAAATAGAATCGAAATGCAGATTATCATTAAGTGTCAAAGATCCTTCCCCCATAACTGTGGTCAAAGTACCATTGGCAATTGAAACCAATGTTGTGAGGAGGAATTAAGAGGGGGAAACTTGTCTAGAATCAAATGTCATATGACCTGTACCACCAAAATCAATTATCCCTGCACTATTAACAACAGGTGTAGAAATATTTAAAACCTTACCACCATTATCTCCAGTTACTACCAACTGTAAGGCCTTTTTAGCACCATCATCATCTATTTTAACAACTGTTGCAATGGAGGTCTTCGTCGAATTCTTCTTCCAACGACTATGATCCCACTATTCCGGATATCCCACAAGTTCAAAACGACGACTTTTGGTATGACCAGTTTGATTGCAATGTGTGCATTTGTAGGTAGACTTGTTTGCACCGTTGGTGGCTTTAGATTGATTAGGTTTAGTATGGTCCTGCTAATTTTGCTTAGATCTATTTCGAGCCATCATGACTGAAGCTTCAGAGTTTTCTGATTCCCCTTTCAGAGTGACACAATATACCGCTTCTTGTCGAACCAAAGAGTAGCAGCCTTCCAAGTCTAGAACTGGATTGTTGCGTAGAATTTCTCCACGAACTTATTCAAAATCACCATCCAATCTGACAAGAAAGATGTGAACCCTTAGTCACTCGATAGACTTCCAATATGCTTCAATGTCATCCGGATCTTTCATAACCACTTTATCTCGATGGTCAATTTCTCAAAAAACCTCAATTAGCTCTCCATAATATTCAGATAGCAATTTTCCATTTTGTTTGGTGGTGAAGGCCTTTTGGTTCAAGGCGAAAACTTGTAACTCATCATTCCCATCATAAAAGGCCTTTGATAGAGCACTCCATATTTCGTGGGCAACGGGTGAGCGTAAATAACGCTTCATAATTTATGGCGTCATGGACATTAATAACCACCGCTTCACTTTCTGATTTTCGGCATACCACTTGTCATAACCATCTTCTGATTCAGCAGGTGGCTTAGTCTAGCCATGAATATAGGAGAGTTTCCCTTTCAACAATATGCATCTCCATCAGTTGGAACCAAATATCATAATTGGATTCAATAAGACTAATCCCTGCATTAAAAACATCTTCAGATTGGACAAAAATAGGAACTGACTTCGTCCCAGAGGATTCAATATTTTTTTCACTCATTTTTTTTTTCTTTTTTTTTTTTTGAATATATATATATATATATATATATATATATATATATATATATATATATATATATATATATATATATATCACCACGACATGATCCGGTGAGGCAGCGACAAAGAGTGACCTGAGCCGGCGATGATGAAGAAGATCTGGCGACAGCTATGATCCAGTGACGTAACGGCAGTCGAGGTGCAGTGGTTCAGTTTGGCAACGTCGTCGTCGTTTGGAGAGTCACCGGCAGGCAGCGGTGCAGCGGTTCACATCAGATCTAGATCCGGCGATGGCAGATCACCGGCAGTGGCAGGCAGCAGTTCGGCTGCGGCTTGTGATGGGTCCGTCGTATTTGTATTTGTATGGGTATGGGTATGTGTATGTGTATGGGTATGTGTAAGGATATGTGTATGTGTATGGGTTTGTTGTGTAAGGATATGTGTATGGTTCAATGAATTTAAAATAAAAATAAATTAAAAGAGATTCAAAGGTACGGTTCAGATACGGTTTAAGGATGGCTCTGATACCATCTTGAAATTCAGAGAAAGAATATGAGAATTAAAACTGTATTCAATATTATTCACGGTAGTGTACATTCAATTTATAGAATAATACTTAACTAAAATAGATAACTAATTATATAATAATTAGGAAACTAATTACCAACTAATTAGTCTTAAATAAAGGAGTAAATAATTCAATCAAACAGATATACAATTTATATAATTTTGAATTACAAAAAATAAAATCTCAACACTATGTGCCATGAATAAGTTCTCACGGCACATTTTGTCCCTAGAAGGCCTTTTTCTTGTAGTGTGCCTTAAACACATCTTTCTGGCTTTGTTCTCCTACATTTAGTGAATGTGTCAAGACAATTTGTCAATTTGTGAGTGATTGCACCCGATTTGCTTTGTAGCTACAAATTCAAAGGAAAAGTGACTTTTGATGGTTTGACAAAACGCTGTGGGATGATTAATGAGGAGTGGTCAATTGTAATTTCACCTTTTGGAGGGGGGTATATATATATATTCAATAATAAAACATTATTTAGTTTTTTTAATTGAACAAGACTTAATTCTCTCCTCACAGTTAACCTGGCAAGGCTAGCATGATATGATTCGGAAATTTTGTACTCCGTCTTCAAAAAAGAAAGTCTCTTTGATTTCTAGGGATTTTCGTTTTGGCACAGAAGGAATATCATTTTGACCTTTGAAGTTATTTTTCTCTTAATTTTCTATTTAGTTTTAATATTATAAAAAAGAAGTGTTCCAATGATGCATACTAGTTGATTAAGGCGGCGGTTCATCCTTGTGACTAAGGAGGGAAGTATTGTTGTGTTTTTTTTTTTTCCCAAACAATTTTAAAGCCAGGAAATATGTTTTTCTAAGCTTTTGGGGGCCTAGTCTCAGCAAAGATCTCTCTTATGCCAGTTATCATTGAGATTGTGAAACTAACCTAAAATTATCCTTTAAAATATAGTTTTCTCAATGACCAAATTAAACTGGAAAGTTGAGCTCAGAAGAATACACCAAAACAAACACATTTATTATTTTTTTCGGAAATTACTAATTAAAAACACACACTATTATGGCCTCTGGCCTCTTTACATTCATAATATAGGTTTCAATCCATACACAGTACCATGAAACTTGCCCAATTAAGAACTTGACTTCCTATCTCATCGTCTTCATGGTATTATTTTCATTTGTCTGAGTCTCTCCACCCAAATCCTTACACTCTTAAGGGTATCGGCGTACCCAAAAAAACCGAATTCTCGACTCTTGTTCATGCTACTAACATGTTGAAACTCAAAATGTAAAACAGTTTGCAGTGCTTCAAAACAAGTGATGTCCTCCATTTTGGCCTTATATAGCCCATGCTCTTCCACTATCTCATCCCAAACCCTTCCCTTATCCCTCATTAACTCTGTGAAATCAAACTTGTCTTTCTCGTCAAAGGGGACAAATTCGACTTCAAACACCTTGCAGAGCACCTTCCAAAAGCTCTTCCATGTGAAAACGTCGCCGTTGGTGCAGTTGTACGCCTCATTTTTTGCACCGTCGGTCGTGGCCGCCCACACTTGCTGCTCAGCAAGCACACGGGCATCCGACATGTCGCAGAAGTGCTCCCAAGTGTATAGCGTACCCGGGTACCGACAAGGTAAACCCTCACGTCGGCAAATTGTTGCGTAGACAGAGAGAGTAAGAATCGTATTATACAAGCTTCTTGAAGACGCGCCTATGATGATTGATGAGCGGTGTATGGAGTAGGTGAAAGAGTGCGAGTAGGTAGCTAGGAGGTCTTCTAAGGCATAATAGAAGTTAGGGTATGGTAGCCGAGGATAATCCTCTCGAAAAGGGGGCTCATGGGGTACGAGTTGAGTCGAAAGGGATGGGTCGAAAATCGGACCCATATAGTGTTTGGTGCCGGTTTGCATGGTTATGTGACGGAGTTGAGGATCAGAAGCGGAGTTTATGGCGGCGAGAACATTGGTGAGCATGGTGGAGTTGAGGGTTATGTTGAGTTGTTCGGTTTCTCGGATTTGGAGGGCTACCCAGAAGATGTGGGTGACATTGGAGGCTATGGGTGAGAGGTTTTGGAGTGTTTCGTCGCGGTTGGTGGCGTCGAAGGCTATGAAATGGTCGAGGAGGCCGGAGGGGAACCAAGTGGGCAAGGCACGCCGAGCTGCGCCGTAGACCTTCCATGGACCACCGGGGGCTGTTGGCTTCTTTAAGGCTTCGGCCAAGGTCAGGCCGACCATGCCAGTGACACCAACAATGAGTGCTGCTGCTCTGTAATCAGGGTCTTTCTCCATCACAGATTTTCTTGAAGAGAATGCAAGGTGGTAAACACAAATACATGGATGACTTTTAAAGCAATTTGAGATATTTCTTTTTAGAAAGTCAATATTATTGACTTGTAATATTACAACTTTACTTAATACTCTTTTCAAAATTTGAGATATTTCTTTTTAAGAAGTAACTGATGCTTATTGGGTATTATCAATATTAATTTTTGTTATAATAAAAAAATTATTATTATTTATTGACGGGAGATACAGGTAGCAGGTAGCTTCGACTACCCAATTTTTTTTTCTCTTGAGTGAGAAAAGATTAATTGGAACTAAAATGCTTTAAAAGACCAGCTGACAAAAAATAATTGAGTTAGCTTTGAAATAACAGTCTGCACCAAACACGAAAGAATACCAACGACTTTTCTCAGTGGATTGTGGGAGCAAGTAACTATCCATATCAATTGTTTTGACGTTCTATAGAGTTTGGAAATTTAGAAGTCTCACATTTGATTGTATTTACGTGAATAAAAAATAATATTATTGTAATTAATGAAGATATCATAACTCATTAAAATAATTGAATGAAATTAAGAGTTGGACTATTTAATCTTTATCATTTTCTTTTGATATTTTATGTAATTTAAATCATAAAATTCTTTTTATCATTTTAACCTTTATATTAGCAAACACTCATTAAATTAATAAAAAATAAAAAATTTGCTTGTCTCATTTTTTTTTTTGTTTCCTAGCAAACAAATAGAACTACAACCAACCATATACACGATCAGCTTTAGCAAACGGAAGAACAAAAGAAGGAATAGATGCAATCAAGAATAACATTGCCTTCTCGCTTAATATGAGAAATTACCACCTCTTTGAACCAGCTAAGGGCCTCCTTGACATCAAAGATGATAGCTGAGATTTCAACCAAAGGAATTGAGGTACCACACATTTAGCATCACACTCCACCCGTAAACATTGGAAGCCCAATTGCTTAGCCCACCATAGAGCACGTCGGATACAAATTGCCTTTGCATAGAAGTTGATAAAGAGTAGAAAGACTTGATAATCACGACATGAACAATAAAGCCATTTGAATCTCTGAACACTACACCTCCTCCTCCAAGCCATGAAGATTTGTAGAACCAGGCATCCACATTACAATTAATGCATCCATCCCAAGGAGGCTTCCTTGGCGACAATGGCAAAGCAGATTCATGATCACACTCCAATCTGCATTTCTTTAAATTTGCTTACACAAATTCCCACTAACGGGAGCAAGCCCAAGAAACCACCATTAAAGGATCTTTTTTTCGTTGTTCAAAACATATAGAATTTCGCTTCTTCCAAATGGCCCAAACACAAAACGATGCCAAACCTAAGCTTTGACTAATCACATCTTTTGACATCGACTTGGACACCATGCTTTTCCAACCAGTACACAAAAGAGACCACATTCATACCACCACACAAAAGAGACCACATTCAATCGAACCTAAGCGTAGAGAGCTTCCACACTTGAATTGCCAATGGACATGGAAAGAACATATGCAACACCGTCTCCTCCACCCCACAACACGGGTAAAACCCAAAATCTACAATCCGGCGAGTTTTGAGAGCAATTCGAGTTGATAAACCTTCCCAACAACACTTCAAATTGCTCTATGTTTTTTATACACGTCCATTCAAATTCAAAATTGGCGCTCCATCAAATCAGCATATATCTTCAAATTGGAAACCAGCAAGATTTTATCCTTCATCAAATCAGCATATATCTTCAAATTGGAAACCAGCAAGATTTTATCCTTCCTTCTAAACTATATAAATAGGGATATATGTAGGGAGGTAGGGGAGATACATAGAGTGAGGGAAAAAAGTTAAGAGAGCGAAGCTTTATGTATTTATTTTTTGTTATTTTTTCTCATTCAATTAAATTAGTTACATTTTCATTTATTCTTTTCTCGTTCTTATGTTAGTATAATAATCCCTCTCAAGGGAGTGATGAAGCTTACATGGTAAATATATATATTTTTGTATTAATTATTCCTTTGGAAATAATTCTTTTTGAATCTCGATGATATATATAAAACTCTCAATGATGGTTAGCGGCCAGAAAAATAGAGGGAGTATTCTTCGTGATATGCCAAAGTATACATATAGTGTAGTGCAAATATGAAAAATTACTACCACAATTTACAATACACTTTCCTAGAGAAATAAAGGAATAATTCTTTGTTTTATGCCAATTAATGGAAATACGGCGAATGCCTACCACTATTTATTCTCTCTAGCAAGAGAGGTAATCAAAGAGGTTTTACAAAAATATTACTCATGATGAAAATTTTATATTAGAAAGGTAAATTATTTGGTTATATGGATCCGTGGTGGTGGATCTATTTTCTTGAGATTTTTGTTTTCTTTAGTATTAGTTCTTTTAATTTTTTTAGTTTTATTATCATTAATCAAAAAATTGTTTTAAAAATATTTTTCCATAAATTTGGGTTTTGAATTGGAGTTCATGAAATCTCATCTTGAATGTGTGATTCGGCCCTTGGGACCCTGGAGTGCTCAGAGGCACTATGTTAGCACTCGCACAATGTCTAGGTGCTCCCACGCGCGCGCAAAGGGGTGCACCGTGTGCTACAGCTCTAACACGATCCATAATCATAAAAGGATCAACAAAATGTGGTGACAACTTCCCTTTTTTCCCAAAGCGCATTACTCCCTTCATAGGAGACACTTTGAGCAACCACTGGTCTCTAACCTGAAACTCCAAACTGCGAGTACGACGGTCTGCATAACTCTTCTACCTACTCTGGGCAGTGCGCATACGATTACAAATAAGAGCAATATTTTCAAAGGTATCCTTAATGAACTCAGAACCCAAAAATCTACTCTTTCCAACCTCCAACCAACAAATAGGAGATCTACACGGTTGGCCATATAATGTCTCAAACGGTGCCATATTAATAGTTTTTTGAAAGTTATTGTTGTATGCAAATTCCACAAGTGGCAAATAATCCTCCCAATTGCCCTTAAAGTCAAGGACATAAGAACAAAGTATATCCTCCGTAATCTGATTAACTCTCTTAGTCTTTCCATCAGTCTGGGATGGTAAGCAGTGCTAAGATGAAACTCTGTACCCAAAGCCTGCTGAAAGCTTTTCCAAAATCATGAGATAAAACTCGAATCCCTATCCAAGATGATAGACAACGGTATCCCATGCAACTTCACATTCTCTATAATGTAAAGTCTCACCAACTGTTCCGAAGTGAAATCAGTGCGAATACGTAAGAAATGAGCTGATTTGGTTAATCTATCAACAATAATCCAAATGGAATTAATTGTGACTCTTATTGGAATTAGGCAATTCCGTCACAAAATCTATAGAAATACTCTCCCATTTTCACTCTGATATAGGTAGTGGCTACAAAGAATCTGGCCACTACCTATTTATATTTCTTAAAAGAAATAGCATTATATCTAACTAGATGCGCAGATCTATGACAAATTTTCAAATTTTATTATTTTCCAAACAATGTAAACCATAACAGTAAAATAAAGTTTATTTATAAATGGACACCAAAGTTTTACCTTATAAAAGTCATGCCTACCCAATTACCAAACCAATCCAGTTACCATTTGAACATACAAAAAGCCCCTAAAGCATAAACATAGGGCCATATTCAGTTACAAAACTGAGGGCGGCCTTGGGATAATATATTATTCGATTGTGATCTGGTCATGAGCTTTAAACAATGAAACAATTTCTCTCTAAGCGAAAGCATGGCTGTGTATTATAATGTACTAATTTAGGGGTGGCAAAATGGATCAAGAACCATCAACCCGCCCATATCCGCCCACTTTGTAATGGTTATGGGTGAATCATAATCAATTTGAGGGTCAAGATGGGTTAGGTAATTTTTAACCACTTAGTTTGAGGGTTAAGATGAGTTGAATATGATTAACCATATTCAACTCATATTTCACTCATTACATAATAAACACACAATACACATCTATTCTATATTGCACTCAACTCATTTCTCTCTCTAAAATTTTCTCACTCACAATCCTCTCTCTAAAATTTTCTCACTCACAATCCTCTCTCTCTAAATTTATCTCTCATCAATCCCCTCTCTCTAGAAATTTCTTTTAAAAAAAATAATAAATTAAAAAATAATTTAAATAATTTTCAATAATTAAAAAATTAAAAAATTAAAAATAAAAAATTTTAAATCCTTTCGAAAAAATAATTTAAAAATAAAAATAATTAATTTTTTTTTAAAAAAAATTTAAATAATATAAAATTTTAAAATTTTTTTTTAAAAAAATATTTAAATATTTAAAAAATTTTAAAAAAATTAAAAAATAATTAAAAATAATAATTATTTTATTGTATATAATATTAGACAACTAATTATTTTGTAAATGAATAGTAATTTTAGGAAATATTATTTTAATGTAATTTAGAAAACTACCAATTTTAGAAAATAAGATTCAATATAACTTTTAGGAAATATAGTTATGAGAAATATGGTTCTTCAAAGGAGAACAAAAAAAATAATAATTAATTTTTTATAGAATATATAACTTTAGAAAAAATTATTTCTTGGAAATATGATTATGGGAAGCTAATCCAAGCTACATCAATTTGTTGACTACGGAAAATTGATAGATGTTAATAGAAGTGTTTGAATCCTTTATAACAAGAAAAAATTTCATTTGTATATATATATATATATATGTTTAAACCCTTTATCAATATATATGTATATATACATACATATGAACCAATATATATCATGCATTTCTATTCACCATAAATTTATAAGAAAACAGAAGCCGTATCATAAATCCATGCGTGCTGGTCAAAATTCCATCTGCAACATATATTAAGTGCATATATATATATATATATATATATATATATATATATATATATATATATATATACTATTGTTAAAGTGTAGAGAATTTCTTAACATTTTAGATTTTTTTTCATTTGATATATATACTTTAATTTATTGCTTTCATATATTAATATATACACATACAATAATTAGTTGA